GATGGTAGGGGCAGTCGGGGTGCTGCCGTCAAACTGAGGGAACTGCGGCTGCGAATGAGCAGACTAGGCGCAGGAGGGCTGGGTATGTGCGTGTTTGTGAAACCCCTGCAGGGAAGGAGGGAGGAGGGGCAGAGGTCCCCACAGGTCCATCCAGGCAGGGCAGCCCTGGACAACAGAACCAGTAACAGGGGTGCTGGGGGCCAGGGGCCAGGGCTCTGTGGAGGAAGGGGGCTAGTCCTTTGGCACTGATCCTCATTTTGGTTGCTTCTGCAATTAAAAGACATGAGTTAATATGAAAAAAGAAGAGAGAGGGAGGGTGGGGCAGGAGTGGAGATGTCCAGAGCCCCTCCTCAGTGGCGTGTGCTCTGTCTGCAGGGCAGGGGAGATACTCGCCTTAACCCCGTGGGGCACAGATGAGGAAGAAGGCTGGGGCCTGATGAAGGTCACGGAGCAGAATGCAGAGCCAGCACCCCCTGGGTCCTCCTGCCAGTTCCAGTCTGCAGGGGGCCTCCTGCCCATCCCTGGACATGAACATCCGGGCTGCATCCCCCAGATCATGCAGCCTGTAGGTCTAAGCCTCCCCTCCTTCCTCTCTGCACATGTGGACAGGTGAACATCACAGGGCAGGTGCCGTGTGCACCATAGTGTGCTTGTGCTGACCCGCGTCCTCGTGAGCTCTCAACTGGGCACAGGTTTTCAGGTGGTGGCACCCCAGCGTTCCATGTCTCTTGCCTTTGTGGGGACACGCGTGCCAGCTCTGGGTGTCTGCCCGTGCCTCACAGCGGGATGTGTGCTGGTCTTGGGTGGTGTCAGGGCTGGCTGCCGCCTGCTGAGACGGATGTGGCGTGCATCTTGTGCAGTGCGGCGGTGGGCATGGCAGTGGTATTCAGCAGGCTGTGCACTCAGCCTCCTGAAGGCCTGTGACTTATGGCCCACCAGGGCACGTCATCTCTTTGGCATCCCCATCAGGCCAAGCCACCAATCCTGCTCAAGACTCTCCTGTAGCTCCTGAAAGCAGCTCCCAGGACGTGGACCAGCTCAGGTCTGCCCCCAACCCCTGTGCAGCCCCTGTCCTGCCTCCACCCTCCTCTCCAGCTCTGGTCTATTTCTCAACACCTGCACTATGCCCTGCCCCAGGGCCTTTGCACAGCCGGCACTTCCCTCTGCCCGGACCTCTGACCCCTTTATCACCCACCCACCTGCCGTTCCGTGGGACGCCTCCTAGGTGAGCCCCATTCTGGGCATCTGCAGGCTGCCTTCTTGCACTCCCCAGAGCCTCCCTGGCAGAGCTTGTCTGGGGTTCTTTCCTGCATGTTCCCGCCTTAACACTTGGGAGGGGATTGTCTGGGACCACGTCCTCCCCCTTGCTGACTGTCCTGCTCCCAGTGCGAGGGTGTGCACGTGGGCTGTCTAGTGAGTGCTTCTTCCCGTGTGCACTTGGGCTGTCTAGTGAGCGCTTCTTTCCGTGTGCACTTGGGCTGTCTAGTGAGCGCTTCTTCCCGTGTGCACTTGGGCTGTCTAGTGAGCGCTTCTTCCCGTGTGCACTTGGGTTGTCTAGTGAGCTCTTCTTCCCGTGTGCACGTGGGCTGTCACAGGGGGATCCCGGGCCTGTGCGTGTTTACCCAGAAGTCACAGCTCTGCCGATGGCGCAGCTGCAGCCAGGGAGGCCAGAGGCTTCCAGAAGACAAAGGGAGGGCGTGGGCTGGCGGGCCCGGAGGGGTTACAATACCCGCCAGGTTCGGGGTCTTTGCTGGGAGTCGGGTGTTGGAGCTTTCCGCCCAGGGGTCGGTCCCTGGCACACAGCGCGGACTCGGGGGCAGCCCCGAGCCAGAGCCGACGGTAATACGGAGTCTGAGGGAATCCTGCCACCCGGGCCACGCACACACATGTGCGATCTGCATGCCTGTACACACGTGCCCCAGCCTCCCGGACGGGCGCGCACGTGCATGCGCGGCGCACAGGGAACATGCACGCACACGCGCGCTCGCGCCAGCGCACCGCGCGCGGGGACTGGCCGGGCCGGCGAGGGGGGCTCTGGACGAAACGCGAGCGTCACGGGACCCGGCGGCGGGAGCGAACTGCGCGCGGCCAGGCGGGCGGGGGCGGCCGGGGCGGCCCAAGATGGGGCGGCCCAAGATGGGGCCGGAGCCGCGGGCCGGGCGCCGAGGAGACGGAAGGGGCGGGTAGGGCCGCGCGAGCGCGGTGCGGGCGCCCTCTCCCGGTAGCCAGCGGCAGCGCGCAGGCCCTCCGCCCTCCGCCCTCCGCCACTGCGGCCCCGCGCCGGCCGCCTGGGCCTGGATCCCCAAGGCGCCCCGGGAGGACGGGCTCCGGGCCCCACGACCCACTCCCAGACGCGGAGCCGGGCCGGCCAGGGGCGGAGGGTGCGGCGGGAGGCTGCCCGGACCCCGGGCGCTCTCTGGACCCTGCCCGGGCTATTCCCGCCCGGCCCCGCGGCTGTGTCTGCAGGCGCGGAAGGTTCGGGACTCGGGTCGCCCAGACGCCGCGGATCCAGCACGCTGGAGCGGAGGGTCGGGGCTGGGAGGGATCCGAGAGTAGAGCCCGCGCCCCCATTTCACGGACGCGGCCGCCGAGGTCCGAGAGGGGCTGGAGCCGCTGGGCAAGGGAAGGGCCCTGAGGGCGCCTCAACTTGGCTGCACCCCCTCTTTAGCCCAAGATCCGTAGAAGCGTGCCTGGCGCCTAGGCGACGGATCGCCCCCTCTCCGCCCCCGCGCGGGACCCAGGCAGGATCAAGCGCCCTTCCCTGGGATAGGAGGCGGCAAACTCCGGGCTGGATCTCCCAGCGCAGCGCTCGCCCGCGGAGCCGCGCGCCTCTCTGGCGCATCCCTGGGCTTCCGGGCCGGACCCCAGCCGCCCGGGCTCCCGCGCCAGCCTTCTGCCCCCCAGAAGGCTTCTGCCAGGCGCAACAAGTCTGAAAGCAGCGCCGCGGAGCTGCTAGCTAGCCGAGAGGGAGGGCGTGGGGCGCCTGGCGCTCCGGGATCCCGGAACGCGCGCAACGTCCGCCTCCGGGGACCGGGCGCGGGCGGCGGGCACGCGGGACTGACTCGGCGGGCTTCCCACACCCCCTTCCAAGGCCCGGACCGTGCGCGGACGGGGGCGCGCCCAGGAACCCCCGTACCCTGCTTCGCCTGCTTGACCTTGCTGGGTACTCAAAGCCAGACTCGGCGGCACCCCGGCTTGCGGGTGAGGAGTTTCGCTGCCGCCCACGGGAGGCAGCGGCTCGACCTCCCTCGTTGCCTCCTCGGCAGCCGGGGTCACAGAGATGGAAGGCATGAGGGCTCTAGGAGAAGTGATGGTCGCCTCCCCAGACCGCACACACCGTACACCACCTCTCTCCCAGATACAAAAAGGGACCCAGCTCGCGGTTCCCCCGCCTCCGCCTGCGCGGCCTCTGCTGTTCCCTGCCGCGGCTCTCGCTACGAGGGGGCGTGTGTTTGTTTCTGGGGATCGGGGAGAGCACTGAGGGTCTCCTAGGATTCCCAAGGTGGAGCCGGAGAGCCGACCTCCCAGCCCCTCGCCACACAAAGGCCAAGCGGTCTCCCAGGGCGGGAGTGCAGGCCCCCTCCCCACCCCACCCACACGCCTTCCTGCCTTTCAACTATTCCAGAGTAGCAGCCGGGAATCTGCGCCCCGGACCCGGAGGAAGAATGGGGAGGTCGCGGCGGGGACGGGTGCTAATTGAGGGCTGGCTTAGGGCTTTTCGAGCCCCGGCCTGGGTGCCTGCGCTCCAAGAAACTTAGAAGCCCAAAATAAAAGTGTAAAGAGGTAAGGTGCCCAGCGGCCTGGGGCTGGGGTGCCAGGCTAGGCGCTTTCTCCAGGCTGCCGGGGAGTGGCCAAGCCGGAGCCGCCGCGGCCAAGAGGAGGGACCCGGGCTCGGAGCCGCAGCCTCCGACAAGCCCTCCCGGCCGCATCACTTAGCTGCGATTCTCAGCTCCGCCGCCCCCTCCCGAAGCCGGAGACGCTCTCTACCCTGCCCAGGGGGCCGCGGGGACCAGGGGAGAGGGCTCCTGGCCGGGTCCAGAGCCCCCAGGCCTCCCCCAGGAGGGGGCGGGGGCCGGGCTGGTTCCTCGAGGCAGCTCTGCGCGGCTCCTAGGTAGCGGGGCGCCGGCGGAGAGCGGGCGGCCTCTGCTCACCGGGGACGCCGACCCGGGAGTGCTCGGCGCCCGGGAGTGCTTGGCCTGGGAGCGGAGAGGGCAAAGGGCCGGCCCAAAGTTCAGAGCGGCTTATCCGCACGGCCTGTCCGACCCCAGTGGAAAGGTAGACACCGAGGGAAGAGCGAGGGCGTTCGCGTGGGGGTGGGGGGCGCAAAAATAGCCCTCCGCCCGAAGTGGGGGAGAGAGAACCTCCGGGAGTCTCCACCAGCAGTGCCAGGTCTCCCGGAGAGGGCTTCCTGAAGGAGTCTGGGGGTTTCTCCTGCCTGCTCCGGGCTCTGTGCGTGGGGGGAGGACGTCTAGGGCCCCTACAGTGTCTGTAGGGAGCTCTGGACGTGATTAGGTGGAGAGGGACACGCTCGGGGGCCTCTCCCGAGCTTGCTGGGTCTATGTGTGACTGTTGGGGCCACGGGGGACTCCCTTAGACCCCCGCCAGCGTCTGTGTGTGCAGGGGGTACAGCGGGAACGCCCTCCCTAGCCTGCCCTATGCATGTGATGAGGAGGGATGCCAGGCCGTGTTGTGTGGATGGGGAGGAGGTGAGCAGCGCCGAGGAGCCTCTCCTGCGTCCAGGGTCGCCCCCTCCTCAGCCTGCCCAATGCGGGCGCGCGGGGACCTGCCACATCCCATCCCCGCAGCTGGAGGAGGCAGGGGCTGAGCGGGTAGGGGGTGGGGGTCCAAACTCCCGAGCTCTGAGCGCAGAACCTCGGAGCTGCGAAGCCCCAGACGGCGAAGTTAGGAAGTCGGGGCGCCCGCCCCTCCCCCGGCCCCCTTCCACCCTCGCTGCGCCCCTACTCGCCGCGCCCCCAGCCCCCCGCCGGAGCCTTCCTTACCTTCCCCAGCAGCAGCCGCCCGCCGGCGAGGACTCGATCCGGCGAGTTGCAAATCCCCGCGAGTGCCTCGCGTCGCCCGCGGCCGAGCCGGGCGCCCGACCGGAGGGGGGGCTCCTCCAGCCGCCGCCGCCCCCGGCCGGCTCCGGGCCTCGCCGGGACGCCCCCTGGAGCGCACCCGCCGGCGCACGCAGGCAGCCTCCCCTTCCTCCCCGCTGCAGGAGCCCCCCGGGCGCCCGGAGGGTCGGGATGTCGACGCTGCGGACGACGCTGGGCGCGCGGGCCCGAGCCGGGCCAGGACGCTGCGCTGCCGCCTGTGCTCCGGGCTCACCGGCTCCGCGCTCGCTCCGCCGGGGCCGCCGCCAACGCCGCGCCCGCCGCCACCGCTCCCTCTCCGGCCGCCGCCGCTGCCGCTCCGCTCCTCTCGCCTGCCCGGCTCTTCTCGCCTTTTTTCCCCTTCCTGGGGGGGGGGGGGCGAGCCGAGCCGAGCCGGGGGCGGGGCGGCGCGGGGAGGAGGAGGAGGCCGAGGACGAGGAGAAGGAGGAGGAGAGAGGCGAGAGCTGCTTCCCCCCACCCGGCTGCCGGCGCTCCCCAATCTCTCGCTCTCTGAAACTGGATCCCGAATCGGGAGCCAGAGACTGCATTACGGATTACATCAGGCTTTATAGAGCTTCCAGATCACACATTAGAGGGGGAGCGCGAGCGGGGGGCGGGGGCGCGGGGGGAGGGGAGCGAGATAAGGTGGGGGGCGGATAAATGCACACACGCGCGCACACCTAGGAGAGCCCGGCGCCTGCCCCGTGCAGCAGACAAGCCAAGAGTTGGGTCCCTGCTCTCGGCCTCCTCCAGGAGCAGGGGAGTGGCCCCACTGGCTGGCTGGATGACGGAGGGTGGACGGCAGTACGGACACAGATGAATGGAGGGAAGGAAGTTAGGGGCTGTGCCTAGACAATGCAGGTGCGTGGGTGGATGGTCGGTGGACGGATGAGGTAGGTGGGTGTAGATGGAAGTGGGGTGTACGGATGGATGGACAGATGACTGGGGAGACTGGCTGAGGACGGGTGGGGTGGAAGGATGGAGGGAAGAGCCCCGCAAGGATGCACAGGATAGGTGGGTAAGTGGATGGGCGGCACCTTGTGGAGGGCTGCTTGGCTAGGGGCTGTGCAGGGGCAAGGACCATGCATGGGTGGAGGTGAGGGCGGACTGGGTGGGGGATGGGCAGGAGAGAGCGTGGAGGCATATACTCCTGACCATCCAAGAAGGTCAGACGGTGGGCGCCGTGCAGGGCCATTGCACTGTTCAGGGGGGCTTGTCCAGTTCTTCCTCATGGGTACCCTGTGCTGAGACGCTGCGGGAGTGGCTGAGGAGAGCCAGGGGATGGATTTGAAGGTGAGGTCTAACCCACCACTGACCCTGGGTGGCTGTCCCCAGGCACTTCCTCCCAACGTCACCATCCATTCTCCTTTGACGTGGAGAATCTCCAGCCCCATATTGGGTTTTGTTCTTCATCGGCTGAGGGCGATGGCCCCTTCGGCTGTCTAGATCATCCACCACCCCTCTTCTGCTTCTAGGACCTCTGGCCAGGTACCCAGAGGGAGCCTTCCCAGAAGGAAGCCAGGACGTTGGAGGGGTGACCACGGGGCCCTTCTCCACCCAGATGCTTCTGCCTCAGCCCCTTGCTCCCAGCTCACAACTCGTGGTCCAGCCTGAGTGCAAGCCCCGTGTGGATGTCGCGCACTCTGCACAGGGAACCATCGCAGCAGGTCACGCTGCCGATGCTGCCCAGGCCCACGGTCTGGCCTGGCTGCGGCTCTCAGCCCATCAGACAGTCTCCGCTGGGTACCACTGCCACCACCACTACTGAATGTCAGCACCCACCCCACCCTGGCCTCCCATGGCCCTCAGCAGCACAGTCACCACCATCACAACACAGGTCACCAAGGGAGGAGGGAATTCAAGCCCTCTGAACCCTTGAGCATGGCACACAGCTCGCCGGACACAGTGTCCATATCAGCCCCCTCCACAAGGTCAATCTGTGGCCAAGGCTCCTAGAGGTGTCCAGAGGGATTGCCCAGAAGGGGCCCAAAGACCCAGGCCACAGGGCAGTTGGAAGGGTGGGGCGGTCCGCTTCCTGGTCCAACTTCTCGGGCAGCATCACACCTCCTTCTTTCTGGGGAAAAGGCCTTCTTCTCCAAGGCTCTGACAGTATTGTTGGCAAAAGGGCAGGGTGACCAGGCTGCCTCTGAGCATCCCCTGCCAGGCAGCACCCCCTCCTCCAGGTCCTGGTGCCACTGCTCTGCCTCCTCTCCTTGCTGCACCAGCCGTCATGGCCACCAGGGGGCGGCTGATGTCAGGCCAGAAGGCCAGCAGCTCTGAGTCAGGACTGAGCCTCCCTCCTTGGAGCCAGGGTGGCAGCGATCCCAGTGCCTCCACTGGGGAATCCAGCCCAGGTTCTCAGGGCAATGCTGGGGCCCTCTCCGACCAGCCTTCGAGGGCAAGGCCGGCTCTCCTCTGGGCCCAGCTTCTCTGCAGGGCGGTTCCTCTCCCTGCATGGGGCCTTCTCTGCTTCCCTCCCTGATTAAAAAGTCCCTTTTAAAAAGTCATCCTCTCAGCCCAGCTCCTGATCCAAGACCCAGAAGGTTCCACCTCCCGCCCCCACCCTGGCCCAGCCCTCAGCTCCTCCTGAAGGAGGGAGAAGGTCAGCCGTAAGGCGTTCTGCCCACTGGGACCCAGCTCCCAGCTGCGGCCCTGAAGCAGCCCCGCTGTCACCCTGTTGGCTTTGAAGGTGTCTTCCAGCCCAGACACTCTGAGATTCTAACTCTAAACTGGTCACTGGCTTTCGGGAGCCTTGCCTCAGTGTACACCCTGAACTCGTTCCCCTCCCCTGCTCACCCGACCCTCCCACAGCACCATCTCACACCCAGATCAGCTTCCTTTTGGGGGCCCGTCCACAGCCTGAAGAACCCAGGGTGGGCCCAGCACCAGGAGACTGGAATTGACAGTCCCTGCTGGGGACCACACCCAGCTGGACGCCAGGCCCTAGAACCTCCTCATGCAGCCCAGAGGGACTGTGACCCATGGCACATGTTCTCCACGGCCACAAACTGATCCCTCAGATGCTCAGCCGTGACCCTGACCCCGACATTGGGCTCACTGACCACTGACCTTGATCAGCTGAACCCCAATCCTGGTCACACACTGAGCTCGGTCACACAATGAGCCCTGATCCTGTCACACACTTAGCCCTGATCCTGTCACACACTGACCTTGGTTACACACTGAGCCCTGATCCTGGTCACACAATGAGCCCTGATCCTGTCACACACTGACCTTGGTCACAGAGTGAGCCCTGCTCCTGTCACACACTGAGCCCTGATCCTGTCACACACTGACCTTGGTCACACAGTGAGCCCTGATCCTGTCACACACTGACCTTGGTCACAGAGTGAGCCCTGATCCTGTCACACACTGAGCCCTGATCCTGTCACACACTGACCTTGGTCACACAGTGAGCCCTGATCCTGTCACACACTGAACTTGGTCACACAGTGAGCCCTGATCCTGTCACACACTGAGCCCTGATCCTGTCACACACTGAGCCCTGATCCTGTCACACACTGACCTTGGTCACACAGTGAGCCCTGATCCTGTCACACACTGACCTTGGTCACACACTGAGCCCTGATCCTGTCACACAGTGAGTCCTGATCCTGTCACACACTGACCTTGGTCACACACTGAGCCCTGATCCTGTCACACAGTGAGTCCTGATCCTGTCACACACTGACCTTGGTCACACACTGAGCCCTGATCCTGTCACACACTGAGCTCTGTCACACACTGAGCCCTGATCCTGTCACACACTGAGCCTTGATCCTGTCACACACTGACCTTGGTCACACACTGAGCCCTGATCCTGTCACACACTGAGCTCTGTCACACACTGAGCCCTGATCCTGGTCACACACAAACCTTGGTCACACACTGAGCCCTGATCCTGTCACACACTGACCTTGGTCACACACTGAGCCCTGATCCTGTCACACACTGACCTTGGTCACACACTGAGCCCTGATCCTGTCACACACTGACCTTGGTCACACACTGAGCCCTGATCCTGGTCACACACAAACCTTGGTCACACACTGAGCCCTGATCCTGTCACACACTGACCTTGGTCACACACTGAGCCCTGATCCTGTCACACACTGACCTTGGTCACACACTGAGCCCTGATCCTGTCACACACTGACCTTGGTCACACACTGAGCCCTGATCCTGTCACACACTGAGCTCTGTCGCACATTGAGCCCTGATCCTGTCACACACTGAGTCCTGATCCTGTCACACACTGACCTTGGTCACACACTGAGCCCTGATCCTGGTCACACACAAACCTTGGTCACACACTGAGCCCTGATCCTGTCACACACTGACCTTGGTCACACACTGAGCCCTGATCCTGGTCACACACAAACCTTGGTCACACACTGAGCCCTGATCCTGTCACACACTGACCTTGGTCACACACTGAGCCCTGATCCTGTCACACACTGACCTTGGTCACACACTGAGCCCTGATCCTGGTCACACACAAACCTTGGTCACACACTGAGCCCTGATCCTGTCACGCACTGACCTTGGTCACACACTGAGCCCTGATCCTGTCACACAGTGACCTTGGTCACACACTGAGCCCTGATCCTGTCACACACTGACCTTGGTCACACACTGAGCCCTGATCCTGTCACACACTGACCTTGGTCACACACTGAGCCCTGATCCTGTCACACACTGACCTTGGTCACACACTGAGCCCTGATCCTGGTCACACACAAACCTTGGTCACACACTGAGCCCTGATCCTGTCACACACTGACCTTGGTCACACACTGAGCCCTGATCCTGTCACACACTGACCTTGGTCACACACTGAGCCCTGATCCTGTCACACACTGAGCTCTGTCACACACTGAGCCCTGATCCTGTCACACACTGAGCTCTGTCACACAATGAGCCCTGATCCTGTCACACACTGAGCTCTGTCGCACACTGAGCCCTGATCCTGTCACACACTGAGCTCTGTCACACAATGAGCCCTTATCCTGTCACACACTGAGCTCTGTCGCACACTGAGCCCTGATCCTGTCACACACTGAGCCCTGATCCTGGTCACAAACAGACCTTGGTCACACACTGAGCCCTAATCCTGTCACACACTGACCTTGGTCACACACTGAGCCCTGATCCTGTCACACACTGACCTTGGTCACACACTGAGCCCTGATCCTGTCACACACTGACCTTGGTCACACACTGAGCCCTGATCCTGTCACACACTGAGTCCTGATCCTGTCACACACTGACCTTGGTCACACACTGAGCCTTGATCCTGTCACACACTGACCTTGGTCACAGTGAGCCCTGATCCTGTCACACACTGACCTTGGTCACACACTGAGCCCTGATCCTGTCACACACTGAGTCCTGATCCTGTCACACACTGATCTTGGTCACACAGTGAGCCCTGATCCTGTCACACACTGACGGTCACACACTGAGCTCTGATCCTGTCACACACTGAGCTCGGTCACACATGAGCTTCCATCCTGGTACAGACTGAGC